ATTTAAGACAAATTTAAGAATGTTTATTATCGATTTAATGTGCTCTCTATGCAAATGTTCACATTTCTTCAACATTTGATAATTAGACTAAAACAACATTAGGGATTAGGGGGTCCTCTTAAGGACTGGCATCTTGATATTTACCTGTAATTCACCTGTTTCAGTTCTTAATTAAAATATTATTAAAAGAGGTATTTTTTAAAGATTTATTGTAAAATATTAACAAAGCATTTTTTTTTTACAATGATTGGTTTTTCATATTTAAAAAAAAATAGTTTCCCAAGATTTTAAAAGTCGATATAATCTAGCACAGTGATGTAAATTTTAATTTTACTTTGTTTTCAAATTTTTATATGACCGCAAAAAAATTTTTGTGGTCGTATATTGGTATGACGTTGGCGTCGTCGTCGTCGTCGTCGTCGTCCGGCGTCGTCGTCGTCGTCCGAATACACTTTAGTTTTCGCACTCTAACTTTAGTTTAAGTGAATGGATCTCATTGAAATTTTACCATAAGGTTCAATACCACAAAAGGAAGGTGGGGATTGATTTTGGGGGTTATGGTACTAACAGTTAAGGAATTAGGGGCCAAAAGGGGCCAAAAATAAGCATTTTTGTAACTTCCAGACATAACTTGTGTGTAAGTGTATGGATCTCTCTGACATTGTACCACAAGGTTCCATATCACAAAGGGAATGCTGGGATTGATTTTGGGGGTAATTGTCTCCAAATTTTAGGAATTAGGGGCCAAAAAGGGGCAAAAAACAAGCATTTTTCTAGTTTCATGACAATAACTTGTTTGTAAGTGTATGGATCTTTATGAAATTGTACTACAAGGTTCCATATCACAAAGGGAATACTGGGATTGATTTTTGGGGTAATTTCCTCCAAATATTAGGAATTAGGGGCCAAAAAGGGGCAAAAAACAAGCATTTTTCTAGTTTCATGACAATAACTTGTTTGTAAGTGTATGGATCTTTATGAAATTGTACTACAAGGTTCCATATCACAAAGGGAAGGCTGGGATTGATTTTGGGGGTTTTCCCTCAAAATTTTAGTAATTAGGGGCCATAAAAGGGCAAAAAAAACATGCATTTTTCTAGTTTCAGGACAATAACTTGTGTGTAAGTGTATGGATCTTTATGAAATTGTACTGCAAGGTTCCATATCACAAAGGGAAAGCTGGAATTGAGCTTGGGGGTAATTGCCCTAAACGTTTAGGAATTTGGGGCCAAAAAGGGGCCAAAAAACAAGCATTTTTCTAGTTTCCAGACAATAACTTGTGTTCAAGTGTATGAATCTCTCTGAAATTGTACTGCAAGGTACCATACCACAAAGGGAAAGCTGGGATTGAGTTTGGGGGCGATGAATCATAAGGGGGTTCAAAAAATTGGGGGGGGGGGAATTTTTTTGTTCCTTTTTTTTCTTTAACATTTTCCATTTTAAATTGGTTATTTCTGATTTATATATAAAAGCAAATAATAATGATATGGTTTGAATAGGCATACATGTGAACCTCCCGACGGAAGTACAATAATCCCGTTTTCAGGGGTCTCCTCCCGACCTCCCGTTGAAAAAATCCCGTGTATGAAATTTTTCATGAATGAAAAATTTCTGCCCAACATAACATCTCAGGCATCTGGTGTAACTGACATTACCTGAAGTTATATCTTACCTGTAAATCAATTTACATGCATAATTATATGGCTTCACTTGTCAGCTTGGGTGTCAAACATACTGGTAAACAACGACTTTTACCTCAGGCTAACTGCCGTTGTGTAACAAAAACTGTGTATTTATTGGGTTACTTCCCTTGATTTATCCTGTTTTAAGTTACTTTCCTTTTAATAATGAAAATTTTTAAAAGAATATAAATAAAATATAAATTGAACAAATAATCATAAAAGGATGGTTATTAAATGATTTTAAATGTCTTAGGACAAATAAAAAAATAATAATTTGAAAATTATTTGAGGATTCTATACTTCCTTTTAAGGCTTAAATTGAAATTTATATAATAACTATGACCCTAACTTTACAGCTAGAATGAATTTCTGAGTTTGCAAATAAAAACTATTTGCAAGAGAAAAAATAAAAAAATAAAAACTATTTGCAGACAGCTAAACAAATGTTCTGGTTGCAATGATTATTTTATAGAATATGAAGTAAAAAATTTAAAGAACATACTGGAAAAAAACAATGTTAGATTGAACATGTAGAATATAAAGATGGAGAAACTTTATAAGTACAAGGGTACTATAAACATAATAAATTGGTTGGAAAGTTAAAGAAAACACACTTTAAAAGACCATTTTTACAGCACACGGTTACATTTACAACAAAATTAATGTCGATTAAAAACCTCCTGATCTGAGTCCTAATCTCCTGACCAAAATTTCCCAATCTCCTGATCTGAGTTTCACAGTCCATCACATGTATGAATAGGTAAATTGAAAATTTTTAAGTTCTTAGACCACTTTCATTCTGTGTCAGAAACCTATGCTGTGTCAAATATTTAATTACAATCCAAATTCAGTGCTGTATCAAGCTTGAATGTTGTGTCCATACTTGCCCCAACTGTTCAGGGTTCGACCTCTGCGGTCGTATCAAGCTGCGCCCCAGCGGAGCATTTTATTTTCTCTATTTTTCCATAATAATGTATCAATAATGTTGTGATCTTGAATAAAAATAAACATTTTATATTCTGAGAGCTTTTAAGAATTTATAATAGTTTGAGTCATTAAGCTTATATAAAAGTATCAAACACTGCTTATTATCAAAGATGTAGTATATTTAAATTTCTTAGTCAGCTTGCATTAATTGTCCAAGGCTTACGTGACAAATCGAGAATACTTGTAGCTCACAATTCAACAAGCCAGTTCTCACAGTTAAACACCCTACAGTTCACGTCGTGATGTAACCATTTCGTGTTCTCCCTTTTTTCGTGGAAAAAGTGACCAGATGTACAACTGACTCTTCCATCTGCTTAAGACAGCATGCCAAGAACATTGACTATGGCTCTTATAATATACAGATATGTATTTACGTACATAAAACTTCATTGTTGCGCATCGTTTTAGATTTGGATATCTACATGTAACACAAATACAAAAACATATCAAGTAATAGAATAAATTACTAAAATGAGGTACAGTCAGTGAACATTTCGATTTTTCATGTTATTTTCAATAAAATTCTTTTCTTTTTCAAAAAATTATTTGAGAGTATTTCTTGATTAATTTTTATGAAACTTTCACAGCTGAAGGAGAAATGATTGAATTTTCTTTATTTATTTATGGATTTTTTTTGTTGAATAACTTTTTAATTTTGTAATTCAGACACGGATCAAAATAATTACACAACATTTTCTGGTTATATTCAACCAAATATATATGAAAAACCAATTATTGCAAAAAAAAAAAATATATACTATCTTTAAACAATACTTATTTTTACAATATTTTAGTTAACAACTGATACAGGTGAATTACATGTAAATATCAAGATGCCAGTCCTTAAGATGACCCCCTAATCCTTAATATTGTTTAAGTCTAATTATCAAATGTTGGAAAAACGTGAACAAACCCAAATGTTCACCTATTTTGAAAGAATTCAATCAATAATATTTCAGAAAATAAAAGAGATAAATGCATTATTTTTTACTTTCGATTACAGTTTAACTAGCCAAAGTTGTATGCAAAATTTTGCAAATATGTGACAATAGTTCATTTACTGTTCCTTAACCGTAAGTTAAAGCTATTTTAGATAAAGAGAATCTAGATAAACAAATTAGAGAGTCATGAACTATATTCTAGTCTTTAATGTTGGAGAGTTGCCATTGTTGAAAATGCACATAGATCCAGGTGAGCAACTTAAAGCTCTAAACAGCCCCTAGCTTGCATTTTTACTGAAATTATAATAGAGAGAGAGAGTCCGAGAGAAATTGTAACAGCAAAATCGTTCAGGAAAGTAAGATCTACAAATAAGCCAACATGGCGGAAATTGTCAATTGAATTGAAACCTTATATCATGATTTCCTTGATAGAAGATTGCTGCTCACAAGGAAGCTATTAAACCAAGAGTTCCAAATGGTGAAGTTGAAATCATCCCTTCGTACATTTTACAGACGCCATCACGAGTTGGTTGACCGTTATGGAATAACTGTTTCACAGATGATATCGGATATGTTCCTTATGTAGTAACTACAATACTCTTCCCTTTTCACGAATGTGACCTACCAAATTAGACTATTTACCGGATTTGTAATAACATAAGCAACACGACGGGTGCCACATGTGGATCAGGATCTGCTTACCCTTCCGGAGCACCTGAGATCACCCCCAGTTTTTGGTGGGGTTCGTGTTGCTTAGTCTTTAGTTTTCTATGTTGTGTCATCTGTACTATTATTTGTCTGTTTGTCTTTTTGTTTTTGGCCATGGCGTTGTCAGTTTGTTTTAGATCTATGAGTTTGACTGTCCCTCTGGTATCTTTCGTCCCTCTTTTATAGGAGTGATTGGCCTTGAAAGTGGACTTTAGCCAATTTTTGTAGAAACCATACTAGATAGCTAGAAACTGTAAATATCAAACTGGCATATTTTTGATAGGTGAGCGATTTAGGCTTTTGGCAACCTAATGTTTAAAGGGTAGTTTCTGCCTTTATTGCTGTCTTGCGATGCCATTATTTTGTCACTGACATCATACCATACTGGATGAACTAGATTATAATTCTGCAATGTTAAATATCACAATTTTCTATTAAAATATATTTAGAAAAATCTATTTTCTGGAACAAAACAGATTAAATTTAAATGTTTTTGAATGACCTAAAATTGGAAATTCCACAGGAATGGACTATGGAAACTTGACCCTTATAGACAATGAATATAATAACCTGAAATTTTAAATTGATTATAAATTACAAATGATTCCAGATTAACGATACCATGTTTTAGTATCAAAAGAATTTTTTGTTCATTTCCTATTAATGTTCTTAAATTTTACAGAGGTGTACCTTGATGTTATATCCCGATTATGAAAAAGCCTTTAGATCCAGTATTGTTAGAGGTCAACAGATTCAAAGGTAAGTTTTTTGCATGTTCCTGAATATGTTGCAACACATTAGATAATGAGTTTAAGAATATAACCAATAATTCATGGACCCAATGATTTTTATGTCCCCACAAACAAAATTTAGGGGCAGTTTATAGTAATCACCATGGCTGTCCGTTCATCTGTCTGTCTGTCTGTCTATCTATCTATCTGGTGGTCCCTCTTCATGCGTGGCACATAACTTTTGTACCACTGAACTTAGAAGTAAGGTCACTTTGAACTTTACTTTGACTTTTGTCCCCTTTTAAAGTAAATCCTTGTCCAATTTGTGTCTAGCTCATTTCTTTTGTACTGAAAACTGAGCGTTCGAGCCTTAGTGTAATGCTATCAAAATGTTTTCCCTTAGTGCATTGCTATAAGAATTTGTTTTTGTAAGAAAATACAAATATAGGGAACAAAAGTTTACATCCAGTAACTCTTTTCTTTGGTAGTGTGGTACTCTGGTATTCTGTATACACCCTGGTATGGTTAGTTCCTCTGGTAAGGTAACACCTCGGATATAAAGGGGTAGATTGGGGTATAGGTTTTTGGCCTGTGAAAGTGTGTGTTTTGTATGGTAATACTCAGTATTTATGTTGGTAAGAATAACTGACTCGTTAAATAAAATCAACTTATATTAACTTTAAGATGCATTAAATATCATCAATACATATATATATATATTAAATAACTTAACAGTGTTCAAACCCATAAATAGACATTTTATCAACCTTCTTTCGTAAATTAAAGAAAATGGATAGCATAAAAATATACCTGGAAAGTTTACTTATTGTAGTTTAGTAATAGGCACTGGAATGGGCACGATTACTGACGAATGTAAACGATTAATAATCAATTTATTGAATGATTTCTGTGTAATCGATTACTCTGATTTTTGTATTTAATCGATTGCAATCTATTACTTTATCATTAGTAGTTACATTACTTTTTGATTACTGTCAATAACATGCTACAAAATTATAAAAAAAAATAATAAAAGTTAAACACAATTATGTTGCTCAATGTATTTATAAAGGAAATTTAGAACTTTACAAAACAGCATATAAAGCATAGTTTCCTAATGTTATGTCGACAGTTGTTTTCTAGATGCATATGGTAACTCTTACCAATCATCCGAAATATTTAAAAATTTTGGTTTTCAACATGGGTGAGGAGTGATAAAGTTCTTACAATAACATGGACCATTACATCAATCACTTATTTATATTTTAGGTCATTAGCTCTATGTTTTACAAATTTTTGCTGTCATACTGACTTAAGTTTGTTTTTTTGTTTTTACTCTGTTATGATATTGTAATTATTATATTTATTTATCATGTTCTAATTTGTTTTGTGCGGCCTTATAGTTGTTTACAAAATAATATTATAACTGGGCAGTTTAGAAATCACTGTAGCAATCATTGATACTGATGGAATGATTAGAACTTTCTATTTGACTAACATAACGATTCCAGAATGATCATAATAGACGCATAATTTAAACTTCTACATTGTTCAAGAAGTTTCCCTTCTACAGTTTTCTAGGAGTTTTCTAGGAGTTTCCCTTCTTCAGTGTTCTAGAAGTTTCCGTGACAACTATATATACAGACACCGAAATTAGACTGATCAGACATTAATATACTTATATTCTTTGAAGTTCTCTGGAGTTGTTGGATTGACACTTTTATTTACGTTAACTACATCATACTAGATTGTGAACTTATTGGACATATTCGATTACAGTTAAGAGATGAATTCCAGATTAAGAAAAAACAAAGGATCAGACTTATATTTTAACCGGATTTTCGAGGGAAATATCGGTTATTAAAATGGTGATGTACGGCGGGTGGCTGGGCGGATCTACGGGCGGCTGCCAAACAGTGTCAGCACAATAACATGAAAACGCTTTAACAAATTTTTTTCAAATTTAAATATGTTGTTTCCTGGGACTTAATGAAGGTCTAGTTAAATTTTCAAGATATTAGTATATCTCCTTTGTGAGTTATCGCCATTTTTAATATCCAAAAGTGGAATTTTTAAATATTTTACTCTTGTTATCTTTTTTATGACTAAGCATAATGTCTTATCTGACAATAAAAATTGGAGTGACAGATTTATTTGAAAATTATCTATTTCCTAAGTGGTAATGATTATAAGCTATATTATTAGAAATTTTGAAGTTAATTACATTATTAATTATAAATTAGATCTGGGTTATATCTTAGCATATAATATCATTGGAGTGACAGATTTATTTGAAAATGTTCTGTTTCCTGATAAGATCTATAGGACTGTATATATAAAGTTTGAAATTTACTAGTAGGACTGTATAAATGAAATTTGAAATTTACTGTTCATTATTAGACATTTTGTAGATAATTAAGTCTCCCTAAACCATATATATTCTTACCCCCACCCCCTTTCAATTTGAGAATGTGCTTTTATCTTGTAAACGGTTGAGATCCCCACCCCTAAACCATATATATTCTTGTATGGGACAATAAAACAAATCAAATGAAATATTTGGGGAGTCCCCAGGTTCACCCCCACCGCCCTACTTTTGGAAAACTTGTAAACAGTCAAGATCCCAACCCTGAAACATATATATTCTTGTATGTGACAACAAAACAAATCAAATGAAATAAAAGGCGAGTCCCCTGGGGTCACCCCCACCCCCTCCTGTTTGAGAACTTTTAAGAGGTTGAGATCCCCACCCCTAAACCGTATATATTCTTGTACGGGACAATAACACAAATCAAATGAAATATAGGGGAAGTCCATGGGGGTCACCCCCACCCCCTTCTTTTTGAAAACTTGTAAATGGTCAAGATCCCCACCCCAAAACCATATATATTTTTGTATGGAACAATAAAACAAATCTAATGAAATAGAAGGCAAGTCCCCTGGGGTCACCCCACCCCATCCTGTTTAAGAACTTGTAAACCGTCGAGATCCCCACCCCTAAACCATATATATTCTTGAATGGGACAAAAAAACAAATCAAATGAAATAAAGGGAGAGTCCCCTGGGGATCACCCCCCTTTTGAGAACTTGTAAACGGTCGAGATCTCCACCCCTAAACCATATAAATTCCTGTTCATAATTTCAAGAAGATTTGAATGACATACAGGGTCAATCCATAGGCGTCACTAATGCATATCATAAACCAATTTGTACTGGACATTGCCCAATGTCAAGCGACAATGGGAATGACGAATTATTGGAGCTTTGTTTGGGAGACTTCGTAACAGCATTCTGTTACAATTATTTCTTGTTACTGATAAGTTTTATAGATTTTGAAATGACATTGTATTAATGATAAATAAAATTTTGGATTTTTTTCTTCTTTCTTTGGTAAATTGTTTGTAGAATTTTGTGGCAAGTTTGTTTGTTATTCTGTAAAAATTAATTTTCTGAATGCTATATATATTTTTTTTTTATGAAGTAAACTCCTTTAAAAACTAAGCTCATATTGTCTATTAATAAACATATATTTAGATTTCTGATTTTGGGCCCAGTTTTCAAGTTGGTCCAAATTGAGGTCCAAAATTAAACTGTGTTTGATTTCAACATAAATTGAATATATATAGGGTTCTTTGAAATGCTTAATCTAAACCTGTATTTCTATTCATTATTAATAAGATAATACCACATTGAGGTCCAAAGGGTCCTAAATTACACTTTTGATTAATTTCATCAAAAATTGAATTCTTTGGTTCTTTGATATGCTGATTCTAGCAATGTTTGAGTGTTAAATCATATCTAATTTTAGAGAACTTAGTCATCACTGGTTGTTGTTATTATATTATTGATTATAATTTGAAAAATTGCATCATATCTTATTTTAGAGAACTATTTATCCAGTTTGAGTTATTTCCCTTTGCACAGAAAATATTATGGATAAAATTAACCTGTGTTTCATTTCAACATAAATTAAATATATATAGGGTTCTTTCAAATGCTGAATCTAAACCTGTATTTAAATATTAGATTTATGGCCCAGTTTTCAAGTTGGTTCAAATCAGGGTCCAAAATTAAACTTTGTTTGATTCAACAAAAAAATTATTTATGGGGTTCTTTGAAATGCTGAATCTCACCATGTATTGAGAGTTTTTGGATTGGGGGCTCCTTTATCAAATTGGTCCACATTGAGGTCCAAAGGATCTTAAATTAAACTTTTGTCTGATTTCATCAAAAAATTGAATTCTTGGGGTTCTTTGATATGCTGATTCTAAGATGTACTTAGATTTTTGATATTGGACCATAATAGGTATTTAAATGTCCAATTTCAAGTATTTCAGTTCTTAAACCACATTCATTTTGTGTCACAAACCTATGCTGTGCCAAATATTCAAACACAATCCAAATTCATAGCTGTTTTAAGCTTAAATGTAGTGTCCATACTGTTTAGGGTTCGACCTCTGCAGGGAAATCCGGTTTACTGTCACTCTGACAGCATCTTGTTTAACAGTTAAGTTGACATTTCAATTTGTATAATATTTCTTGTGAACTTGTGTATAAAAAATCTTGTTAAATTTTATTATTGATCTGTGTCTTTTGTTGGCCACAATTTAAAGGTGATTTCTGGCCGTAACAGAAATTGGGGGCTCGTCCGGGAGAACGTTAATATCAGATTAAAATTTTTCAGCATTTTTATTGAATTAGAATAAGCCAACAAAATTCAACAAAATGGCATTTGATGCTGGTAAATTTTTAAAAACGCCAGACCTAAAAGGGTTTGATAAACTAAAGAAAGAAGAATGAGTGTTGCTTGCTAAACATCTACAAATAGATTTTAGAGGATCTATGAGAAAACAAATTATAAAAAATTTGGTAATAGACAATTTAGTTGACTAAGAAATTTTTGTGAAGAGTCTCTTGAACTCAAGGTCGAAAATGTTGATGCTTTCAAATTAAAAGAGCTTGAATTAGAACAACTTGAATTAGAAAAGGAAGATGGATTTAAATTAAAAAATTGGAAAAACAATTGGA